CATGCGGGTCTGGTGGGATTTAGTGGGCAGGAACCCGTCTTGCGACCTGTTAAGGAGATTTCCAGGCAACAGATAATTGAGAGTTCCCATTTTTCTTTTCCTTCACTCTAGGTGCGATGGACGTATGACCGACCGGACGATGATTGTCTATGTTTATACGGGATCCACGTTTGTGTCGTGGCAAGACAACAGCGTGCTTCCATGCGCTGAGGAAGTTATAGGTCGTCTTCGAAAGAATAAATATGTTGGGGATTAGGACTGGAATATCTGGGCCACCTAGAATCAGCACAACGGAAGTAACACCATCGGGACCGGCATAGTGAGACAATTTGAGCGCACGAAGAACTTGCGTGATAGCGCGCAGATTGAATTCCATTATGTTCAGCTTATCATCGGTGAGCTGGGGTGTCGTGAGCGATGTCGCCCAATCGGTAACTGAGGAGTCACAAAATGGAATGTTGATATGGTCACTTAGTTGAGCAGGGTCAGTAATGAGTGTACCCTCAGGAGTGATAGTGAGGCGATTGTTGAAGCTCTGCTGTTTGGCCCTAACTCTTATCAGGTAATTGTGTAGGTATTCGCAAAATTTGCACATTCTTGTCAATATTTTCAGCTCGGTGATGTACTTATTGTCTGATCCACCATGGAATCGGTTTCGACCAAAAATAGCGCTGGTAAATTTCTTACTGCTTTCTTTCGCAAAATTCGCCGAGCCTTTTCATTACGGTGTGCCGTCGGAATTCATTTTATCCAATACGCGCCTTGCGTCATTCCTAATCGCATGCCAGAACATTGCAAACTGATAGTCTTCCGGCTGGTTGTGTAACTGCGTCAGTTCGGCGAAATCTACCCACTTCGCCTTCCACATTCGCCAGTTTTTGCGCAATGCGCCCTCCGTCATCTGCGATTTACTCGGCATGAAAATCGATGGCTGACCTCTAAGCGTCTGCTGCATTTTGCTTCCTGGGTACTTTTTCCTTGTCACCATGTCGTGATGCGCTTTGGATAGGGATTAGTCGGACTGCGCGATGATCAAGACTCTATGGTAAGAATAAAGCGTTACTTATGTGTTACAAAAACATTGCAGAGTTCCAGTAGTGGGTTTGGCGTCCACTTCCTTGGCCCTGTATCTCATCACTCCCTTCCGGTCGGGCCATCTCAAAGCGGTCCTGATCGTGGCGTTCAAATTGTCCCATCTTTCACGTTCTAGCTCGACGTTCGGCTAAACGGCTCGGCATTCGTTTGCACAGCACTGACCGAGTGGTTCTCAAGTTTCGGTTCTTGTCAGCCGTAAGCCGTCACTCTGCCCGAGCTCCGCTCGTAAAGCGCTCGGATGACACATTTCTCAGACGCCTTTCCTTAACACATAGTCCCAAAGAGCACATCGATTCACCTCATCGAAAGCACTTTTGATGCCGAGGAACACGACAACGGTGGGTCGCCAATATCTGTGACGTCGCTCTAACAATCGACATATGGTGAAGATGTGATCGATGAAGCCGCGACCTCAATAAAACGCTACTTGTTTCTCATGAATCTGGCTTTCACGAGTGCACCTCAGTCTAGAAAATGTCAGGCAGACAATTTGGAGGCGATGTGTATCAGACTGATTCCTCTATGGTTGCCACATTCCGAACGCGAGCCTCCTTTGATGATCGGGACAATAAGGGAGCAGTTACAGTTGGTTGGGACAGTTTCCTGCTCCCATAGTTTCACAAGTAACTCGTGTAAATCGTCCACCTGGTCAGGTCCCCGAATTTGAAGAGGGTTGGAGGAAGATCATCTGGTTCCGCGGCCTTATGTATCTTCAGCAGTCCGATCTCACCTTCGACTTCTGAGTGAGCGCGCATCCAAGGAACAGCCTAGGGTGCAAGGCGATCAGCGGTCGGTGAGAAATCTGGCAATACCGGTCGATTAAATGACCTTTCAAGAGGCTCAGCTGCACACTCCAAAGGTTTTGACAGGTTGTGTATAGGCTATCCACTTTCGTCACAATTTCACTAACACCAGGTCTCCTGCTACCCGTTTCCCGTATCAGACGGAATAACTTCCGATAGTTACCAAGGGCAGAGGCCACTTCCATTTCTGGCGCGCGATAAGACAACCAGGATTCGCGGTCTCTCTTCAGGCTAGCACGAAGTTTCGTTCCGATTTGTGCGAGTCTTGTTGCGTTCGCTTCCAGCCTAGATGTGCCGCGGAGCATCTGTAATTTCCGGCTTTTTTGAGCTGGGTGGACTTAGTCTTTGAAATGTTCCGTTTCCACAGTATGAAATAGCCACAGAAGATTGAAGACAGTGAACCGAAGCGGTTTCATCAACATCGCAATTCCGTTTGCTGTCGTCGGCTGTTTACTCATGAGGTAAATCCTACTGGCGACAATGAAAACAACATTGCGGTTCCGCTATGTTGACTGTGCATTTGTAGTACTTAAACGCAGTGAAGTAACAGTCGCCCTCCAATTACTCGACAACGCAATGAATGACATTCAGTTTACTATGGAGTCAGAGACAGGAAACCAGCTCCCATTCTTGGATGTATGATGGCCAGAACAGTGGACGGTGAATTCCAAACACGTTTACCGGAAATGCTCACCTGTGGATCAGATTTTGAACTTCAATAGCCATCGCTCAAATTGCCACAGTATAAGCTGCGTACGGACGCTATTTAGCAGAATTGAAACGCATTGCAATACGTAGGAAGCGAAAACAGGAAGAAGAGAAACATCTATTTCATTCGTTAGAACGGAATGAGTGGCCACGCAGCTTCATCCGTAGATGTTTAACTCACCAGCCCCTGAACACCCAGTCAATGTCAAAGGCAAGCAATCGGATCGTTTTCCCATATATAAAGAACATATCTGAAATGACGGTTAGATTGTTCGAACAACACATACCATGGTTGCCCACAAGCCAACTGCTACCTTGAGATGCACACTGTCAAACCCTAAGGACAACCGGGAAAAACAAACTAATAAACGTTGTGTACATAAGAAACTGCTGTACCTGTGTAAAGAACTATGTGGGACAGACGACGGAAATTATCGACCAGGATACAAAAAATCTCAAATGGCTTGCAAAAGACATGCATCTTCACTGGTCTCAGCGCATGTTGATGAAAAGGCATGTAGTTTCATCTGAAACAAACTAGTGATTCTGACTACAGAAGTGACACAAAAGAGTGGGGAATTCCTAGATGCATGGTTATCCTCCAATAATGTGATCAACATGTGCATTGACACCCACCCCCTTTACCAACAACTGAGAACGAAAGATCACCTGCGAATCGAAAGGAGACATGCGACGGACAGGTTGAGCAGCCGCTTCATTCACCGGGGAAAATGGGCAAAGATTACGGGACGCAAATCAGCGATGTCACTTTCAAAAGTCACCTGCCTGTCGATCACGGAAGGACGGTTGCCCAAAGCACATAACCGCACTGACGAAACCCTTGGATTATTATCAATGACAGTTTGCGGTCTAGAGAGGAGTAAACTTTCTTCCATGCGTTATTTTAAGCTTTTTCGTACCCGTGATGATGACGAAATTCGTTTCCACCTAACTTTGCTTTCGTTTTTTGAATGATAACGGTCTGCGACCATGTTCTCTTGCCACTTTGATCCATCTTTGGATTTACGGGCTCCGCTTTGCGATGCCTACGCTACAGTGGAACACCTGATAGGGGTCGTTATGAGCTATCGTGAAATCTGAATACAGCACCTTTTGGTATCTTCAACTTACCTTTGGTAATATTTTACAATTCCTTTTTCTTCGTGAGGCTCCATCATCGTAAACATCAGTACAACTGCAATTTGAAGTGATGCTTCGTTGCATCATAAGAAAGATTAATAAGTAGGAGATATATATATTTAGCAACAGTCTACGAATAGACAAGAGCCATCAGAAACCATGGGACTCAAAACAAGGTACAGAATTAGTAAAAGAAAACACCACATACAAGTCCATGGTTTCGTCAGAGGGTGAGATACTACCCGGTTGCCTCAGCCGAAGTAGGGTGTTAACTTAAAGGACACCACCCCCATCCTTTGGCTGATTAGCCTGCCCGCAAGGCAGCGGAGCGAATTCAGGGAATCGCGCCCATTGGGAGCCGGTGACTGATTGCTCAGTTCATACGCCTTTTGTTTGTTCCTTTGTCAAACAGGGGCCCAACGCTTCCCAGAATTACAGCATAAAGTTGCTGGAATACAACGTTTCGCCAGGATGAAGCAAGGGACAGTGTTTTTATTTAGTGGCGAGTTACGTCCGCCACGTCACAAAGTTGTTAAACGGATATATGTGCCTTTTTATAGGAAGAACGCTTGCCAGGCGAAAACCCATCACGTCCTGGAACACTGCCGCTGAACCATTTGCTAGAACGGGAAAATCCCGAACCACCCAGCTGGCACCACGAGTAGGTTGTTCGGCAAGCCAGCGTAAGATGTTAATGCCCTAACCATACATTCAGGATCAAGGTACCTACATCTTGTCAACAACATCATCGTATAGGCCCTCACTTCAAAGTTGGCCTCGGTTGGGGCCTTTCGGTTCCCTGGTTAGGGCTCAAAAGACGATGAACACGCTTGACTGGAAACACTTATTGACATGACTAGGAGCCGGACTCAGTGACGTTCTTGTTGTGAGTTTCCTCGCCCCTCCACCTCCGACCACGATCTCATTTTCTAGGGATAATATAACTCTTTTCGCGGTACAATAGCCGACTGTTTGCTCTCCAGAACGATGTCCATCCGTTACTGATGGCTCAGCTGGCGCGCCTTTTGTTGCGCCTGTTTATTGTTATTCCTTATATATAGCGACACAATAGCTGAAGTGTTTTCCACTTCTACCTAATGTTTATGATGATACTGTGGCTCATCAGAAGCGGCTGGCTGCCGTTCAAAGACAGGTCAGGTAAACCGTGCCGTTACTTTAATACCAAGCTATACTGATTGCTGAATATCTGGTTTATTCAATTTTTATACAGCCACGCCTCTATTCTCACTTCCAGAGTGCATGCTCGTAACGTGAAAACCCACTCATGTTTACCTTGATGTGCTTACGATGAGCACAACGAGTGAATGTGGTCGCCATAAAAAAGATTGCTACGAACATGATTTGGTGCATCATCTCGGTACGGCATTGAAGAACTGGAAGAATGCGACTCCTCAATCAGACAATGAGCAACGCGGCGAATCGATTTCAGCTAATTCTGAGACGAAAAGGATCGAAAAACGAATCGTTCATGCAGGCTCATCAACCATTCCTTCTGGGTGTGATGCTCCAGGAGGAGGGTTGACTTACCCAAAAGAATCAAAGTTTATTTTTCATTATCAAATACGGAAAACTGACGATGATCGTACTGTACTGGATGATACTCGCAAATACGGTAAGACTATGGAACTGTACTCTGGCAAGGAATTTCAACTCGATGTAAGTCTGCGCACATTTGCCTATTTTGATTCAATGTTCCACTTGATTTGTTTGTCGCTTTTTATCACCCCACTTTTACCAAGTTGTTTTGTCCGTCAACTTCCGATAACTTTCATCTTGTAATATTTGCGGATAACTGGCGCGTGGCATCACTGACACTATACACACTACTGCATAGACTGCCACAGCATGTAGATTTTTTCAGACATCTTTTTCACCAACTGGCGTTATCTGAATCGTGTCGCTAATACTCACAAATAGTCGACTTATTTCAGTCACTCATACAACTTGTGATTCTGTGTTTGTTCATGTCATTGGATAAACCTGTGGAGTTATAAGATGTAACACTACCACTGGTGAATGTGGGCTAACAGGCCTCAACACACCATATCATGTTATGAATTTCGTTTCACGAAACGTGACCTTTCTGGTAAGATCAAGTTTATACAATTAGGTTTCACCAAGATATCCACGGGATAATATAAATGTTAGATAAAATGGGAATCACACCAGTGGTAGTTCTCCGGTTTAAGTTTTATGAGGTTATCCATGTTTGGACCGCAAAATATTAACTGGTTACCTTGTTTGGGATTGTCCGGGAAAATGTGAAAATTTCCCCCACTGCGTCTTTCTGGAGATTCAGAAACAGCCTCAACAGGTTTGGTTGGTGTAGATATTGCACTAAGTGGCGAGGCCGAGGCGCCACTACTGGACTGGTTCCCGATTAACAGCCGACTATGTGCAGTTCGGCTTCGGGGTTCATGTAGAATCAGCGAGCACCGCGAAGAGAGACGCAACTTGTTTGTGCTCTTCCTGTACGCTCCAACTGACTGCAGTGGCGACTCGGTCAAGGACGAATTCTACCGCGATCTACTTCAGCTTTTGACTAATGCTAAATGTCGGATGTCCTTGTCCTTGCTGGGGCTTTTAATGCACGGGTTGGCCGCCTGTTACTATACGAACGCCACCTTGGTGGTCATCACGCGCTCGATGAGAACCGCTCTGATAACGGAGAGAGGCTTCTCACATTGTGCGAAGACAACCATCTGTTTCTCTCGAGCACTAACTTCAGGCGTACGAAGAAGCGTTCCGCAACGTGGCGTCCCCCTTCGCCAACCCACCCGTGGTCTCAAATTGATCACATTGCAATTAGCTTCAGATGGCTCGGCAGCGTACTGGACTGCAGGTCTTTTTGGTCCACCTTCGTTGACTCAGATCATGCACTGGTCTGCGCGAAAATCTGTATGTGTTTTGGAGGATCCCGAAACAAAACAAATTAACTGCTTCCTCTGTCCAGACGAGCTATCAGTCTTCACTGGCATATGCACTCAGTTGCAATCCACCGCAAGACATGGAGCAACACTGGACTTGTATACGGAAAGCAGTGGCCATTTCCGGACAGTCAAGCTGCGGCCTAACTCGAAGCCCTCTAAAGGCTTGGATCTCTGCTCGTTCTCTGTAACTGTTCGAACGCCATAAAGGTATCCCGGGGTAACGGATTGCAACGCGCGGCGCCGTTCTACCAACCGGCTGCTCAAGCAAAGCCTACGCAAGGATCGCGGGACATGGTGGTCTGAGCGTGCTTTAGTGATGGAGACCGCTGACCTCTCTGGCAACACTCGCAGGCTTTTCCAACTCATTCGGTCCACTGGCCTCAGGAAGCCTGGTGTCAATGAGGTCATTTGTGAAGTGGATGAGTCTCCGATCACCAACCAACAGAGGCGTATGGACCGCTGAGTCGAGCACTTTCACTCACAGTTCAAGTGGCCTCCACCATCCATCAGTACATGCCGTACACCTTGTTGTCTATCCTGGCTCGTCCCATTGAATCCACCCAGCGAAGCGGAAGTCTGCCTCAAGATTCGGCGCTTGAAGTGGTTCAAGGCTGCCGGCTCAGACGGACTTCCTCCGGAGTTGTTCAAGTACGGCGGTGTGGCGATCATTAACCAGCTGACCGCGCTGTTCGCAAAAATCTGGCATGAAGAGAAAGGGCCTTCCTCTTGGGGCGAATCAGTTCTTGTTCCGATTTTCAAGAAAGGCGCTCGCACTTCATGTGTAAATTACCGTGGGATTAGTCTTATTTTGGTTGCATCCAAGCTATTGGCATGCATTCTGCTTCACAGACTATCCCCGGTACCTGAATCATACTACCGTGAAGAACAAGCTGGTTTCCGTCCCGGCCGCGGATGCCTGGATCAAACCTTCACGCTCCGCTAGCTCCTCGAACATGGTCACATTTATCACAGCCCCACTACCGTTGCGTTCTTAGACATACGTGCCCGCTTTTGACTCCGTTGATCGACCTGCTTTATGGCGTTGCTTACTAAAGAACGGGGTGCCAGAGAAATATACCGCCATCTTACGAGCACTTTACCTTCATACATCCGGCAGAGTGAGGGTTTATGGCAAGCTTTCCTCGCAATTCGCTGTCAATAGTGGTGTACGACAGGGCTGCCATATATCCCCATTCGTCTTCAACTTCGCAATCGAAGACGTTCTGTCCAATGCTCCAGAAGGTTTCCAACATTTTGGTCTAGAGCTTCTACCGGATGAGCGCGCGACCGACTTAGATTATGCCTTACTTTGTGACGGTCCTTATGGTATGCAACTCATTCTGGATCGTTTGGCGGTTGAAGCATCTAAGTATGGTATGAGTTTCACCCCATCGAAGTGTAAAGTACTTCTCAGGGAGTGGCTTTCACCTCTCCGGTGCTCACTCTCCAAGGTGCACAACTTGAACAGGTAGATAATTTCGTCTATCTTGGGCGTTGTGTTTCTGCTGACGGCGCTGTCAACAAAGAAGTTTCTCGTCGTATCGTTAAAGCTCGATCAGCGTTTGTCAACCTGAGGCACTTGTGGCGTCGTTGTGACGTCTCATTCTCGCTAAAGGTCCGCGTTTACAGCGCATCAGTTCGCTCAGTATTGTTGTATGGGAGCGAGTCCTGGCCGATTCGCGTGGAAGACATGCATCGTCTTTCTGCCTTCAATAACGGTTACTTAAGGAGGATTGCTCGTGTTTGGTGGCAACATGGAGTTAATACTAATGACGTTCGACGTCGCATATTGGGGAATGCAAGTATTTCCTTCAACAAACTGGTTTTGTTGCGCCAGTTGAGATGGCTCGGTTACGTTCCACGCATGACACCTGAGCGTCTACCGCATCGCGCTCTATTCGATCGACAAGGACCTGGCTGGAGGCGACCGCATGGTGGTCAGCCTTCTACATAGCGGCAGCACATAAAATCGCTGACATCGTGTCTAGCCGCTGTGGGATCCGTACGTCTTCCAGGATGGGGACCGAAAGATGGGGAGTGCCATTGGCTTAAGACTCTTGAAGACATGGCCCGCAACCGGAATCAGTGGAATAATTGTGTACAGTAATGTATTGATTCACATGTTTAATACTTCAAACATTGAAAATGACAAAAATAGAAAAATCGGCATGTGAACAACAAACTAAAAATGTTTTGTTCTACTTTTTGTCAAAATGTTCCTTTTTTCTTGCGGCATATTAGTTGAAGTGTGTTGCTCACCTTCAACCACTATTCTATGATGATTACGACGCGATGACTATCTCTTATCCGCTGATCTCCATGGTTTTCTATTGGCTCTGTGTCTAGTCGCTAGACTGCTGAGATTACATACATACACATTATTTTAGCGACTAGGCATCAGCAGTGCGCCGGTAAACAGTACCGACGCTTAGCTGATGAGCAACTACCACCAGTCGCACATGAGCTAAGAATACTTAGAGTATCGCCCGGTTCCTTCGCGGGCTCGAACCCGCGCCCTCACTTTACAAGGCTGGTTTGTGATCTTTAAGCCTACCTGCCGGTAACTAATCGATTGTTACCGGTTATCTCATCGATTTCGGACATACTAATGTTCTAACGCTGCATGTAACTACACAACCTCCTGAAGATTGACTAGATCGGTATGGGACTACTACTTTTACCAGTTGATCTTTCTGTTCTAACAGTGGAAGATCATTGGGCGACCTATACGTATGGCCAAGTTCTACTTTCATTACACATTGTTTTGGCGTCGATTAACAAGTCCTTTTGCGTACTGCTTTTTCTTCGGTCGGGCCGGAGGTCTCACGGAGGGAGTAGGTGTTTCTATTCGAAATCGCAACAAAGTGGAAGATCTAAGATGGGTGAAATATCATTTATGCTTCTTCTTTTGTTATTGAGGCTCTTTCGAGTTTCCAATAGGTAACATCCTTGGGTGTTGGAGGATATTTCTATGTACGGATTGAACTTGGTTTTCTTAAACTTAAGGGATTCCGATCAATCATGTGGTAATGAGCGAGACCTTAAGGCGTAATTCAAAAACGTGGTATGTCGAATCTAATTTGGTCCACATAGTTTTCCTATACATTATTTTACTCTCGAAAATTAGAGTGAAGGACAGTATTTATTTATTTTCAGCTCAGCAACTGTCGCTTACGGCCGAGACAGCCAAATGAGGATATCGGTTATATATGTTTAAGGTGGAAATACTTGGCATCGTCCAACCGCCTCTGGCGTATTGATGTAACAGTACGCTAGGCGTATACAAGCAACAGCAAAAAAGGGAAACGAATATGAGAACTAGGGATAAAGATGTAAGAAGCAAAACCGGCTAATTGGATGAGTCGTTTTGAAGTACTCGTTCTATGCATGGATTACGACGCGCAATCTCAATGTGGGCCGCGATTCGTAGTAAAGCGAACCTTGGTCAGTTCAATCACTGGTATCTTACGGTCCCAATTGAAACCACTACGTTCCATGATCGATTCAGAACTTATTTAATCTCACCATATGGAGTTAACAGGCACATACCTTTCCCACCTCAACTCCATGGCTCAGGGGTAAACGTACTAAGCAAAATATCAGGCGCATCGGCTTCAAGTGTCTGATATTTCTACCTGCTATGGTCAAACATGTTTAAAACCGGTCGTGGAGTACCGTGTTTTCAGGCGGGCCACACTCAATATCCATCTGCTTCGCCAGTTACGATCGAGGTTCAATGCGAACTGCGTCACAGTCCATTCACACAGCGAGTGCTTCATTTTGGCCTACCAATCAATTATTAACCCTTGTGACAAGCGTTGCTCATTGTGATTCGGTGTCTAAAGGGGCGGAGGTTTCAGTGGTCCCAGATTCAATGCCTCCTAACGCTATCTGATGAGATCAAACAAGGTCGAAATGCGTCGTGGGCTGCAGTGTTTTCGGACGAGCAACACCGAATATCCATCAGAATCGGCTAGCTTCTCTTTGCCGTCCAACATGTTTGAATGAGGGCCACAACGGAAGTATGGCCAATAAAATATCGAATGATAAACGTGAATGATGATGGATAAATTCGATCAGCGTTTCTTTTTAGGCTCTACACATTTTAGTATGGTTGTTGGAAACAATTAGGGGAGCTCAGTCTTAGTTTGCAATTTCTTTGCAACTTCTCCTCATTGATATGATCGTGAGGCACGTTTTACCTTAAAAGGAAGTAAATAAAATCGGATTGCGAAGAGTGAAGGGGATTTTGTCAACTTTTCACGCTTTTTCAATGCATTTTGCCATAAATTCTGGTCAAGTAAAGATTGTGCACAAGACATTCTGCTCCTACTACTTATACTCAGCATCTATCATTCTATTGCACTTCAATTGTAACATTATTTTTGTATACTATACTGTCATGCATCTATTCACTGCCTTTTTGAACGCTGATTGTTATTCGCAGACTCTTATTTCAATAGGGAGACGGTTCCAAATTTCAGTGTTTCTGTTTAGGTAACATTTTCCTCGGACAGTAGTTCTCGTTTTGAACACTAGAAGTGATTGCTTCATCTCTCTAATTGCGCACCTACACTCGTTTGAATTGTATGCTAATATTTGGTGCGAATACACGTTTACGAGCCAAGTCAAGCATAAATCGTAGGTCCGATTTCACGCATCTTTGCCACCGTGGCTCCTATTGTATCATCCTGCGACGATCGGCGTGGTCTAGCTTGTTTCAAGGCTTGAACGGAGCCTTCGCAAATATGTGTTGTATCTTCCCTAGACCCGTGTGGTCGCGTTCCCTCTGTTGTTGGAAATCCTCAATCATTATCCCGGCGCAGAGCTAGTGCAGACCTTACGCAACTGCAGCTTGGAGTTTCGCATCGCGGGTGACTTTAAAAGACTAGTTTTAGCACGATCCACCTCGATTCTGTTTATTCCTCGCTACTGCGCCTTTTCATAGGGTGCGTCCTCATCATCAACAGCAGTACGTAAGCCATTTGAACTGATGCTTCGCTACCACGCAATCAAAACGGCGTATGGAACGAAGAATTATAAGAGTGAGAAAAGAGGGACCTAACGGAAAATTGTAATGCCCTGAGCAAACTTTCTGGGTCAAGGCACCTACACCTTGTCAACAACATACCGACACAAACAGCTGCTTATCGTGAAAGAACAAGGCGGCATCAGCGAGACAGCGTCCTTGCGGCTTTCACTGCCCTGCGTCATAATCAGCCATTACTCCACATATAACAGCACCGAACACACTTTAAGCAAGCAGTCCGACTACGAGATGACAGCAGACACACAGCTGATGCGTAGATTTTACACTAAGACAGATGCACGTCTTGGCCCGTACGTATCATGGATTATTAACCTATTGATCATCATCATTATACACGTTAGCTAGAGGTGCGAAACACCTCAGCTACTGTGCCGCAATACATAAAAGAAAAAAGGGAATAAAATGCAACAGGCGCAAGCCAGGTGATCTATCGGTAACAGATGGGCATCTTTCTGGTGAGCTACCAGCCGGCTACTACGCAGCAAAAAATTGTGCAAAATTATATAAAGCTAACTAGTGAAATCGTGGTTGGAGTGGGAGCCTAAGAGGGATGGGGTGAGACAAATAAACTCACAGCACGAACGCCATTGAGATCAGCTCCTAGCCATATCAGCAAGTGTAACCAGCCTATCGTGTTCATCGTCTTTCGGGAGCCGTGACGCTCCAACCGTGGCCAGCTTCGAAATGAGGGACTTCATTCCTCTCATCCAAGTCATTGCTTGGTCACCTCTCCTCTTCTTCCATCCACATCCCCGGCGCGCAAACAACCCACGTCGCGGGAGTCTGTGGACTGGCATGCGTAACACGTGGCCCAGCCATCGGAGCCTGGTGCGTTCAATGAAGCCTATTGTTCACTGGCGAGATATACAACGCTGTGTGGTATCCGCTGTTCATAAATAAGTAAAAGTTGCGATAATTACATGCTGAGGCTGGTTGACTTTTCCTATTACCCAGTATCTCCTAGAACAACCTCTCCAGTGGACCTAACCACTATTTTACTGATTCAACTCCCAAGCACAGCAGATATAATGCATGTTCCCGACGTTTTTCCGAATGTTTGATGACTATCTCTCACAGTCTAGTTGTGATAAACTCAATTCATCCCTTTCAGATTCTCTGCTACCACTGTAATCAATAATCCATTTGGCCGGTGGCCGAGTGGTTGGCACGTTTGCTTTCCAACCATAAGGTCGCCGGTTCGAATCCGCGTAGGGGTGGGCGTCCTCGCGGTATACTCAGCCCGCGCGCGACTGGTGGTGGTCGCGCGGCAGCGAAGCGCCGTTATGGCGTATAAGCTGACGCATTTCATTTTTTCACTGCCATAGCTTGACTGACGGTTGTACTATTAAAAATCTCCATCTTATTCCTTATTTTCGCTGATACAATCGTGTGAGCGACCCACCGGTTGTAGCTTGTGGTCACATTTCCCTCCTTATATCCCCAACTTACGGTGCCTCATTTACTGTTACTATTCCGACCTTCAATTTAAGGTGGCCTCTAGATACATCGCTTTTTCTTTATACACCCCTTTGGTCTGTTCACCCCCGCTGACATTATTTTACCACCTGCCATGGAAGTTTACTCTTCCCTCTGTTATTTCACTGCCTTATGTTCTTACAACCTTTCTCTGTGCTCTCTCACACGATACGGTAGCATTCTTGTTGCGTTGCACCAATCGGTTTTGTGCTTACTAACATTCAGCATGAGAAAAATATTGTTAGAAACACCGGTTCTCTAACGTCCTTCACTTGCTTCTGGCACATAACCTTTCATTATTACTTTGTCTTGACATTTGCGCCTAACTTATGATAGTTATCATTATTTGATTGATCCTCATTGTTTTCCTCCTGCGTAATTTGTTCCTGCACTTGTTTCTGTCACCATGGTAGCGTACAGGATTTCATCGGTGCAATACAGTAACATTTTGTACGCGATTATCAAATTCTTGATCCATAAATTGCGCCATCCTCGATTTTGTTCAGTTGTTACGTGGTTCGACAGTTTTGTTTTCTAAGCCTAGGTATTTGTAGGCTAATGTCCGCGAGTTTCCATGCTAACCGTACACGCTCGCTTGTACGGGCATGTATGAGTTCCCACAACCAAATTGCCTCACGCGCATTACTAATTGTTCCATCGGTTTGATGGTTGTTTAGCTCGATCCTTGTCTGAGTATAGGATAAATTGTTCGTCAATGAGGGCCACTTGCTATACTCATTTGGTTTTAATGGTGACTTATATCCAGTATCTTGTTCAACACTCAGATTGACTTTACAATATGATGGTCCTATGGAGGCTAGTGTACGTTACCGCTACTTTGGTAGGGCGCATCCTCATAGTACGTTACTAATGACACCTTGAACGGGGCTTGTTAGCTTTACCTATTTATTCATATCTATCTCACCAACCATCACGGCCCTCTCATGCACTGTATCGACCGGTGGCCGAATGGATTGCACGCCTGGCTTGCAATCCTTAGGTCACCTGTTTGAATCCGCATTTGGGCGAGCGTCTTCTCGGTATACTCAGCCCAGGTGCGACCGGTGTTGGTCGCCTGGCAGCGAAGCATCCGTACAGTGTACGGTGCACTGCTTATGACATTGTTTCTCATACACTGTGTGTTCCGCACACTCCTTGCTCCACTTAATCCTTCTCTCTCCACCCTTTTTACTGTCATTCCTTTGCTTGTATCCACAGTTCTGGGAGCATTGCCTTGGCACTATGCTCCCTGGGGAGGTTGCTTCCTTCACCGTACCACCAGAGCGCTTGCTCAATTTTGCAGTCGTGAACAAAAAGCTCCGCGATTATATGCTAAATAAGAGAGGAGCTGCTGTGAAACATTGCTGTGGTTTGATGAATTTACGTGAACAAGGCGGTTTGGGGTATGCAGATTTGGACGATTTTATGTCGAAACCGGTTGAGCTGGAATTCATCTTCGAGTTAATTAGGTAAGCACCATTCTGTCAATTATCTTACTTGACTGTACATCTTATTATGCCACGTTACTCTACCTACCTCCTACTCGTGAGTTGTACCGTTTGGAAACAATGGCATAGATTTCTATACATATTCCTGCAGATCATCAGGTCGTTTGGTCACCACTATCACCAAAGATCACCCTCCTTTTATGTTATGTAATGTTGATTTGAGTGGTTACACTCCTTCCTGTTCTCTTTGGAGCAGTCGTCTGCTTTAGTGAACTTGTACCCCTACAATTACGTCGATGATCACCGATCACATCAATGCACTAGTTGGTGGAGTTCACTACACCGGTGTACTGCAATTGGACGCGGAAGAATACGAGGGGGAAGAGTATGAGCCAGAAATATTAAGCTTTTGTTAGCAAACAGGGAGGTATGTAGACTGAAATGCAGTACGAAAAGGTTATGGTAAACCGATAATGAATGCGAAGCTTTTTACACCATTCTCCTTGACCTAATATTGTATTTTGGAGCAATTGGAAAGTTTTAAGCCTCGCGGCTTACGCAGATTGTATGCTCATGTTCTCTGCAGTTGCTCGCAATTATGTGAATGATTAGATGGACAAAGCGGATCGGTTTGGAGCAGCTGCGTATCTTTTGTGTGTGTGTGTTTGATAAAGTCTGCGAGGTCTATGCGAGAGCGAATAGTAGGGTCATTAGACAGACCCAGTCCTGGTGGTGCCAGGTTGCGCAATGACACAACATCTTTTCCATCCGGAAATCGAATGTAGGCATATTGGGCATTGCAATCTAATAATTCAACTCCATCCACTAAAAGCTCGTATTTTGAGGCTTTCACATTACGATTTGGCAATACGGGTCCTTGCACATTGAACCAACTCGGTAGCTAGATTCCTGCTGTATTTTCCTGTTACAGAAGAAGGGCCTGTCATTCGGAGTGACGTTTACGGCGGTGCAGCGAAGGGAACGAATAGAACGCAAGTCGTCTAACAAATGTATCTGCAAAGGTGAAGTCCAACGTCGTGTCTTAGGTAATGCAAGTATTCCCTACAACAAGCTAATTTTACTGCGTCAATTAGGATGGCTCGATTACGTCCTGCATATGTCAGCTGAGCGTTTGCTCCATTGCACACTTTTTGCTCGTGGAAGACTTGGCTGGACGAGATTATGCGGTAGTTAGCCGTCCACCCGGCGACAGCATATGAAATCGTTGACTTCATGTCTTGCTGCCGTTGGATGCACAAGTCCTACTGTTTGGGGACCACCGGCTGGAAATAATTCAGGATATGGTACGCAATCGAAACCAGTGAAAGATCTGTGTGCATTCTTGTTTATATTGGGATGCTAAATGCTTAATCGTTGAAAAGGAAATAACGAAACTGTTCCATTTTTCTTTTATTGCGGCACAAGAGCTGAGGTGTGTTGCTCACCTTCAGCTAATATGCTGTGATTAAACCTCTCTTCTCCCAGTGCTTTCAATTGCTTTGTTTGGCTCTATGTCTATTCGCTAGGTTTTTGCTAATACATACGTCCAGCAGTGCATTTTCACAGTGAGTAAGACCTTTGGATTTAGCTGAGAGTATTGGATGTCCAGTTGACCCGATTGATGCGTTCCATACAACCCTGTGGGTTGTATGGTATTCTCCATCTGACCGTAATGCGATTCTGACTTAGGGACTGATGCTCATCGTTGGACATGAACGACAAAGCACGATCGGAATGAATCTAAAGTAGTAAGCCGAAGAGTGTACAACTAGTTGATACGGTCATCTCGTTACATACGAAGGTGCAAACGGGAAGCGAGAGTACTTGTCAACGACGGTGAACATGTGTTTTGTTGGTCGCCGACGTCAAAGATCCCTTGAAAACAATTTTTAATATTTTCAAGTGATGAGTTGCTTTTATGAGCATTCCGGACGATTAGTAAAATCGGGTATCATCTCAGCACAATGATACAGCGAGCGGTCATTGCTTTCACCTCATGGATTGAATACGCAGATTCTATGAACGCACCAGATGTAATATTTGAGTGACTCCGGGGTAGCACTGCGTATGTTGTAAGTCCTGGAGTGTCACGGTGTGTGATTGTGATGAGCCACATGCAAGTGATAAAGCTTCTGAAGCCACGCCATCGCTTCCTCTGCAGTGAACCAAATCACAAGTATGACATGATAGTTCAACACGACAGTGCTCGATTTTATCATTTTTGATCTTCCTCTTCTGATTGGGGTTAACTATGCATGAGACGGATCGCTGATCAACAGTAATGGTGAACCGGTTGCCTGTTAGTTAATGTCACCATTTGCGGACCGACTCAACGATGACATATGCCTTTTTCTCGATAGCAGAATAGCGTAATCCACTAGCTGACAAGATTCTTGCGGAGAAACCAACTGGTCGTCCGTTTTGTGTTGGTGTGGCAGCTATAGGCATACCAGATGTATCCACTTCAATTACTAAGAGTATGGAATCATCAGCAGGAATGACCACAGAGTTTTCTATTTCTTCTTTGTTCTTGTCGAATGCCTCTAGAACCAGCTTTTGAAGGAGAAAGCAGTGATTGTCAATTCGCAGGCGGATTTTGTCAGAGAAATGTGATATCCATTGGAAATACTATGCTAAAGTCCCACTACACGCTGCTGAGGTCAGTGGGTGCGGGCAGGAATCTCGAACGTTGAAGTTGGTTTGGGTCTGGTCGAATAACCTCTTGTGTAACTTCGTACCCCAATACTCGTCTCTTCACTAATTTATGATGCTTTTACCTTCCTTGAATGTTCGATTGTCTTCTGCTCCTCCTCATGTGTGCCGCACACCGCTAGGTTGTCACTGTAGGCGAATGTCGCGTTCAAATCATCGTCGGCTATTACTTTATTCATGACCCTTTGAAAACAGGTGACCCCATTGTTTAAACCGAAGAGTATACGATAGAACTGAAAAAGACTTCCGTAGGGTACAACTGCGATGGATTTCCTTTCGTTTATTTTACCAAGAAGCTGATAATAAATAAATAGATTCTTTATTCTCGGACAATGCGAGACGCGCCTATGTAGGCATGCGCTCTTTAGGCCTAAAGTGCTATACACCTGGTAACAAAAAATTTTGTCGATAGGAGCGTCAATTCTAAGCAGGGGTACGCGTCAACATAAGTGTACCGGTTGTTATTTTGGCTATAATCTACAAATTTACGCCATTTATGTGTTTCATTCTTGGTTACTAAAATCTGGACTCCACACGGGAGTCCATCTTTGAGAAGCCTTTGTGTTTCCACACAAGTAAACCTCTCGTCCGCAATAGATTAACGCCCCGATTTTGTGATGATCGATTTGTAAGTGGAAGCATCGTTTCCAAATAGGGAGGGAGGATCCACATCGGCGGACAATAATACACACAGATGCACCAAAAAATGGAATTTGAACAAATTGGTAACCTTAAAGAATACCCTATCCCAAGGGTACATCTGCGCAAAAGTTTGGGAGTACGGACGTTTTAACGCCTGTGTAATGTTGTCTTTATACTGCACACTGACAAGACAATAACCACTAATGAAACTTGTAAAGTGTGTGCTAGCCACCGGAACCTTGCAATGAGAATTGGGGTGTTTCACTTGTACCGTTTGACAATCGATGTGGCGGCAGTGTAGCTCTCAGGGCTTCCGGTATCATTCAAAGCTTTTAGGGGAACGTTGTTGATGACGGCGTGGGAGAGACCGTTTGGCGCCGCTGCGACCATGAAGCACCGAAGCAGTGTTTCTGCATCAGGAATAACAAACCTTCTGATGATGTCTTTTCTTTCCACAGCCGCTGCAAATGGTGTCACGTGCAGGGCTGTGTCTGTTCAATTCGCAGAAGAAACACCATTGTTACTTTGAGCTAATAAGGCACTTGACGCTTGTAAAGGTTCAGAACCACGGACCATAATCGTTTTCTGACTGATGTAATTGTGACTGACGATAAGTCATCTCGCAGGAGCTGGTCTGTTCATAAGCGGTGTGTTAATCGAGCGACACATTTTCCAACAGAGTGTAGCCCAGTTATGAACCCATCACGAATGGCGTCTTTGCGGTTCTTCTCCGCTGTGACTATTGTAAAGTCCTGAGCCAATGATTTCAACTTCCGCATGAAGTTGTCCAGAGTTCCCTCCACTTGTTCCTTACTAGCAGCTAGTAGAGCATGACGTGCAAATATTTCCTTTTTCGGTCTGGTACCTATAGTTCTGAGTGCACCGTGTGCTGTAGTTATATACATCAAGGGACACGTAGTTCGCCAGAGCCCTCTACTTAATAAGCAGTAGGGAGTCGACCGAATCAAAAAATGAGTAACATTCTCAATCCAATAAGTCCACTGTTTCGCCGAGTTCGTGTTGTTTGGATTGGCATCAAAACGTTCTAGTCGGGGGATTCGATCCCTTGTTTGCTGTATAAGTTGTAGGAGAATTGGATACGGAGGAATACGACGAGTGCGTAGAATATGATCCCTAGAGATTGGGGTTTATTCAACACGCAAGTTAAGCACGTATCCCGATAGGTACGTTCGACCTTACTTTACGGTTGCGAAACCTGGCCCCTAATATCGGCGAACATGAAGAGGCTAGTTTCGTTCGACCAGCGGTGCCTTCGCAGTTTGGTTCACATCTGGTGGGAACACCGCGTGAGTAACGAGCGTGTTCGACGCCTTGTTTATGGCACAGGAAAAGGAACTGAACCGCTCAGTAACGTCATTTCACGCGCCAGGCTCCGATGGCTGGGCCACGTGTTGCGCATGCCAGCCCATCGACTTCCACGACATGGGTTGTTTGCTCACCGGGGATGTGGATGGAAGAAGTAGAGGTGTGGCTAAGCGATGACTTGGTCGAGAGGAATGGGGGCCCTCACTTCTGTGCTGGCCTCGGTTGGAGCGTCACGACTCCCTGGTTGGGGTCCAAAAGACGATGAACACGTTTGGCTGAATACACTTGCTGACATGGCAAGGAGCCAACCTCAATGGCGTTTCTGCTGTGAGTTTCTTTGT